ACAGATAACTTGCACCGGACCCTATTACAACGTAAATCTCGAAATTCTCAGAAGTTACAACCTTGAAACGTGTTCACTTTTATGAAAATGAAACTATCATGCCAGACAATAAAAAACTCCGGAAGGTGCAAACGGCATCGAAAACTTGTAAGCAAAATCCCGAGTGATAATATGACTCATAAGTTTGTATATCTGTTGATTATCCAGTGATGACTTTGTGCCACCTTTACAGGTTATTCTACTCGAGCTTCTAAAAGATCATCTGGATCCAGTGCACATCCTGAATACCGAGCTAAACAGATGGACAGAGAGAAGAAAAGGTTGATATTTCAAACGATGGAATTTTTGCTTACTGGATTTTCTCCACAAAAGGAAAAGGAAATTGAGTGCCTCGTTCGAAAATATGGTGGCATAGTTATTTCTCAACTTCCGTTCATATACTTGAAGGGAAAGAGAAGTTCTAGGTCAAAGTCTCCGGTCCTTCCTGTTGTTTTGTGTTTGAAGAAGGTAACTTTACCAAAAATTAAAACATTTTTATTTTCAATATAAATTTTTAAACATAATTTCTCTCTGGATTTTTTAATGAAATCTTGCTCTTTGGATTTGTTAATATCTTCAATTGTAATCTTCTTCGTCTTAGACTAAATCTTTTTAAGAAAAATTCTTTGTTTTGTTCTGAATAAAACTTGTGATGAGTGTTAAAAGAAGATATCATGCAAAACGAAGAGCCGTCACCCTCTTTTTGAAAGTCCTAAGCTACAATTGCCAAATAAAAAGGGTGTATCATTTTTTAAGAGATAGGTAAGGTTGAATTTTATGGAGCTTTGGTACGATTATTCCCTGTTTCGATTTCTGTTGATTCTTTAAAATATATCTATTTAGTATGTATAGCTCAGATGTTTCTTTCAAAATTATTAAAAAAGCACGGGGTAGACGAACTTCAAATGGGGAGCTGGGTATAGAAATTTGTTTTCTGATATATATACATGTCTTCTAAGGCTCATTTAGACACAGTGATTTCTATACACTATAACTAGTTGATAAACCTGAATGATATCGTCTTTTAATCTTCTGGATTGAGCTATTTGGGTCAAATTTATATGTGTAATTGGATTTGAAATTTATCCATGATATTTTGTGACTGATTCTGGCATTATTTTACACTAACGAGGATTTCTAATTCTTGTTCGTTGTTATCTCAGACACAATCATTCAAGTTCTTGTATGGATGTGCAGTGAATGCCTACGTTCTTAAAGTGAATTGGCTTATTGATTCAATTGCTGCTGGTTTCGTCTTGCCACCAAAAGAGTATGTTCCTAATATGCCTACTACATCCATGTCTTGTTTATATCTCTTATCTAGACTACAGTTATGATTTTATAATAAAGTTGACATTAGGACTATGAATTTTTCTAAATTTATAAAGTTGTTTATGGCTTGAGAAATTAGTAATTAATGAATTGATAATCACCGGAATTTGGATTGTTAAGTTGATACAATATGCACGTAATTAGAAATAAATATGGAAACCTTACAAACTCTAGGGTTCACAATTCCTTGAATTATCCCATCTGAGTTGCTCAACTTTATTGCAAGAAAAATAGATGTAATTCGGGATCCATGAAAGGAGGCTAACTCTTATGATACTAGATTACAGAGCGTAAAGCTTTTAAAGTATTATTTCATATTATTTCTTGTTTTATCAAACTGTGTTGTAATTTTGCCTTCTGATTCTTATTTTATCACATTGATTGATGTAATTTTATTTCATTTGTCAGATACATGATCCTGCCCATAAATAATGGCGGAAGGGACGACCAGGTTTATACGGCTATAAACTACAACATTCATTCTCTCGTTTTTAACAAGTTGGGCATCATGCTTCATGGAAAAACCAAATATGTGACAAATATCGCAACCATTATCAAGGTATACCGTGTACACTTACGCACTCTTATTTGGAAATTATACACAATCAGCCGTTTGGCTGCTCATGAGACTGAAGAAAAATCTAGTTGACGTCGAAGTTGATAAATGTTTTTTTGAAATTATTATTTTTTCATAATTTGTTTTTTCTTTGTCCATCTCAGCATGGTGGTGGGCAGGTTTTCAAAACCTTGCAAAGATTGGTCCAGGCTCTTGAAGCTGGAAGAATTTCAAAGGGTGTAGTTGTCGCTGACGAGGGAAGTTGTGCTTCTCGTCACTTGAAGCACTGTACCTTGGAGCAGAATATACCCATGACAGTCAGTTTTTTTTTTCCTATTATTGTAGCAAATAATGTCCCGTTGCCTTTAACAAATGTGAAAAAATTATTAATATTAATCTGACTCAAGTGTTGAATCAAATGCAGCCAGTTTCCTGGATTATAAAGAGCTTATATGCTGGACAGCTTATTCCTTTGGAGACGAAAAAGATTCCCCGATATCCGCCACTGCCAGCCATTAAACTTCAAAGACGCCAAGATTCAGTTGAACTAAGTCAAGAAATATGAATCCCGGCATAACATGCTTCTGTAAGTACTTGAAATGTTCTGCTATGCAATTAGAAATTAAACACATGTGTTGAAGCCAAGTTCATATCTATCCCTTGAAGAATTGTTTCCTTATTCTGATTTTTTTTTCATCTCTATATAAAATAGTGGGCTCATTCAATAATATTAATACGTTTGGCTTTTGTATTTCTTTCTATCCTGGAATTTTTATTCTAATAAAAAAAAAATCGGGATTCTGTTTTATGAAATTAAAATCAGAAAAAGATGAAATTTCCTGTATACTTTTGATTCCTGTTATTAAAAAAAACCAGAATTTTCGAAATCAGAATGAAGAAAATGGTGTTTTATTTGACAATTTTCAAATTGAATCGGCGTAATTTGGGAATTCTGTTCCGGTTTCCACCCGTTACTCAGAGATATCGTTCGATTCTTGATTTTTTGTTTCACAATTACTTTCAAGCTGAGGTTGTCGACTGATAACATCAGAACATTTAATGATTTAGTGTGCTTTTGTCATCAGGTACAATCGTCCCAAATGCAAAACTTGATCAGCACTTGACTTTCGGAATTAAGCTGAGGAGATATTTGGTTCTCGAAGCTTTGACACTTCGTGGTCTAATTTAATTCCAAGAATTTCAGGAGCAAATTTTCCTGCGACAACAGAACCAGTTACCCTCTGTTGTAAACATTAATTTCTTGTCCGTCTGGCTGGACGCGTAGCATCAACGGACTTATTTGCAAGACATTGCATGTATGTATATGTATATGTTTCCTGCCAATTCTCTTACTTTTGTTGTATTTAATAGTCAACAAAGTTCATGTAATAAATCGGTCTTTTTCATTGTCGAAATAGTTCTTAGTTCTAATTTACATTTGTAATGGTGTGCAGATTTTGGTTGTGTTATGATCTTCTTCTGGCAGATTTGCTTGTTGAAGAGAGGGAAAAACGATATATTTTAAGAATATTTATCTGTAAGTACCTCTTCTTGGCTTTTACACCTTCATAAGCCCCTGTCCGAAACCACGGAATGTGGTTGGCTAATTAAACTCGTACATTCAATATCTTATCCGTTAATTATAATTTTATTTTGAACATAAAAAGAATGCACTAGAAATAATTATATTCCGATAATTCTAAGGCCTCGAAAAAAAAAATCTTAACGGTGTACTCGAAATCAAGAAGTAATTTATTGATGTGATTTGAGTTCACTGAAGTCGTAGTACTAAGAACAAGATATAGCGAACATAGTATTAAGATAAATGACGAAAAGAAAAGGACAAAACAACCACCATATTGTCGGTTTCTTATTAGTTATTACATCGGAATCACCGACAAGTACTTTTGATAAGTGTTCGAGTTCATCTACTTACACGTAGATCTAAATCAATCGATAGACAAACAAACCATATTATTCAATGCGTTTATGGATGTGAAAAATACGCAGTCTCGTGCATATACTAATAGGAGCATTTTACGATCGTTTCTCGTTGCAGAAAACTCCGAAGGTCAAACCGGAACCAGCTAACTTCTCCTCCATGATATCGGTCAACCTCTCGACCATCAAAGGAGTGAGAAGGTTCGCCCAATCTCCGACCTCGCCTTTCCTAAACAAATCCCTGTTCTCAAAACCAGCAGTAATCGCGCCCTTTCCCGTTTTATTCACGTCCAAATCTTTCATCTTATCGAAGCTGCAAAGCTTCGCTATTCCTTCAACCGCACCACCTTCCTCCTCTTCCAAACTAAATGGAAACCCCAAAAACTCGGCCAATTTCTTCAAGTGAAAACAAGTGTTCTCCTTCACCTCCTCGTACTTCAAGAAAAGCACCTTTTGTGGGGCCCTCAAGCTCTCGTACCAGTACCCTAGCATATGGTCCCAATACGGACCGAACCCTATCGCTCCTCTGCAGTACATGTCGAACGCCTCTTCGAGCGACAAGGGCCCTAGATACTCCGGCCTTAGCTTGTTCATGAAATGCCATATCGAAACGAACGTGTCGAAAGGGTTCCTCACCATGTAAACGATCTTGCATTTCAAGTCCATGACGGAATCCGGCAGCGCGTTTATCGGCATGTGCGTGCCCAATAGGAGTGGCCTTGGGAAACGGGACATGTCGGGGATATTTTCGTAATCTGCGAAAAGTTTGTACTCGAGGAAAGGGACGAGTTCGTGGGAGTTGGACGTGAGCAACGGGTGGTTCTTTTGGTTGTGGGCAAAGTTTCGCCTGTTCACTATCGCGAACGAGAGTGCTTTGAGCCACGTGGTGCCCGATTTGGGGATTGTGGCGACTATGAGGTCGGTGTTTTCGGCGTTGTAGTGGTTTTGGACCGAGATTATGGCTTGGATTTCTTTCGGCTGGCACCAAAAATGCTGATATAGATAGAGATTTGGTGTTCTCCATCCTCTCTCTTTTGGAAGTGAAATCAGCAATTCTTTGCATTCAGGGCTGATCAGTTCTTGTTGCTGATCTTGACCGTTGGATTCGTTTTCTATCACTCGGGTGATGGCCATTTTGTTTTGAATTGATAATTTTGGTTAAAATCGATATTTTTTTTCTTTCCGGTTTTGTTCATGCAAAAATCCTAGAAAATTTCGAGTCCTATTTCTAGGGTTGATTTTTATTTATTTAAAGAATGGCCTTATAAGTGGTCCTGAACGAAACCCGAAGGAAATTGAACCATTGATCTAATACTACCCTGGTACCACTCGGGCAATGCCTTCGTGGTCGAAGTTATTTAGCATGCTGTCAACATGAGAAAAATGAGGACCATTCTATATATCTAACTATATAAATAAATATTGAGTGACAATATTAATGAGTATGTATAAAGTTGTTTTCCAACTACTTTTCTTATGAGTATGTATAAAGTTGTTTTCTAACTACTTTTCTTTTTTTACCAAAAAATGCGACAAGTATTTGATGGAGGAATGTAAATCAAGGTAACTCAACGGGCCGGCCCGTTAAGGTAACGGACCCGGACTAGGTGCCCACAAGGAACCAACCCTCATTGGAGTTGAAATTCTCACACTGCGGCTGTTAGGATTCAATCCTAGGATCTTCTACCAACTTACCACCTCCAGAATCAGTTGAGTTACACCCATGCGGACATGCTTTTCTTTTTGGGATTCAATGTGAGCACGTGGGCAAAATTAATATGAAAAAGGAACTTTATAAGAGGCAACTTCTCTCAAATAAATAAATAAATAATAATTAAATAATTAAATTTTATTTTAGTTTGATACCTTGTGTAAAAATGGATAGCAATTAACAATACACGTGCATGATGAGATTATACTCGGAGTTTAAATTCCAAAAAAATATCTGATCCCATTCACAATAAAACACGTGTACATTTACAATTCTCATTAAATACTAGTCCACGTTTACAATATGAACTAATTAAGTAACTTCAAATGGCAAATTAATAGCAGTGGGGGAGCCTAGTGTGCGGATGATAAGACTTATGAGTAGGGGTGATATGGTTCCTTCGACCCTACATCCGGTGAAAAACACCGGGTGGGTCTTCTGCTGCCACGT